TAAGGAAATGCTTGACCTGGTTGAGCTGGAAATGCGAGAGCTGTTGTCAGAGTTTGGTTACGACGGAGAGAATACACCTATCATCCAGGGCTCAGCCCTGTGTGCCCTGGAGGTTTGTACTAACTCATCTGTCCTGGGCTAGCTGCCTTTTTTTTTTATTCCGATCTGTGTCCTGTCTGGCTCCCAATCACCGGGAAATGTCTTGCTGAATCCAGTTAAAATCCCTTCCCCTTCTCATTTGTCACATCTAAGCTCTGCAGTCCTGCCACATCCAGTCGGGAATGATGGTGGACAATTAAACAGCTCACTGGAGGAGGAGGTTCCACAAATATCCCCGTCCTCAATGATGGAAGAGCCCAGCACATCAGCGCAAAAGATAAGGCTGAAGCATTCACAGCAATCTTCAGCCAGAAGTGCCGAGTGGATGATCCATCTCGGCCTCTTCCAGTGGTCCCCAGCGTCACAGATACCAGGCTTCAGCCAATTCCATTCACTCCATGTGAAACGGTTGGATCCTGCAAAGGCTACGGGCCCTGACAACATTCCGGCAATGGTACTGAAGACTTGTGCTCCAGAACTTGCCGCTCCCCTGAGCCAAGCTGTTCCAGTACATTTACAACACTGGCATCTACCCGACAATGCAGAAAATTGCCCAGGTATGTCCTGTGCGCAAAAAGCAGGACAAATCCATCCTGGCCAATGACTGCCCCATCAGCCTCCTCTTGATCATGAGGAAAGTGGGTAGAAGGTGCCACCAACAGTGCTCACTCGGCAATAACCTGCTCAGTGATGTCCCAGTTTGGGTTCCGCCAGGGCCACTCAGCTCCTGATCTCATTACAGCCTTGGTTCAAACATGGACAAAAGAGCTGAATTCCAGAGGGTGAGGTGAGAGTGACAGCCCTTGATATCGAGTGTGGCATCACAGAGCCCTAGCAAAACTGGAATCAGTGGGAATCGGGGACAGGTTATCCCAGTGGTTAGAGTCGTACCCGACACACAGGAAGATGGTCGTGGTTGTGGGAGGTCAGTCATCTCCGATCCAGGACATCTCTGCAGGAGCTCCTCGGGAGTGTCCTCGGCCCAACCATCTTCAGCTGCTTCATTCATGACCTTCCCTCCATCAGAAGTTCAGAAATGGGTGTTCGCTGATGGTTACACAATGTTCAGCACCATTCGTGACTCCTCAGATACTGGGACAGTCCGTGTCCAAATGCAACAAGATCTGGACAATATGCAGGCTTAGGCTGACAAGTGACATTCGCGCCACACAAATGCCAGGCTAAGCCCATCACCAGCAAGAGACAATCTAACCACTGGGACACCAAGTTCCCCTCCGAGATGCACCCCCCAACGCCAACATCCCGAATCGGAATGATATCGGGCATTCCTTCAGGGTCAAAAGACTGGAACTCCCTCGCT